AAAAAAAAAAAAAAAAGGAAGGAAAAGATCTAATCAATCAGTCAACCAAACTAGGAAAATTGCAGATCAGCAACATTGTTTGATTAGGATCACCACGCCGATATTCCTCCGACGAAGTCCATATCCACGCCAGAAGGATGTAACTGTGTAAATGTTTTCCAGTTCAGAGATTAATTAAATCCTGCACAAGAAAATGAATTTACAAATGGATGACGTAACAGCATTATAAGCTTTTCCCATCGAACCCCGAATTCAAAAAGATTTTTGTTTAAAAGGACAAAAAAAAAAGAAGAATAATAAGCCATCCATTAGGTATGGTAATAGTAGTAATAAATTAAACTACACAGGAAAAGAAAATACACTCGAGAAGAAAAAAAAAAAAAAAAAAAAAAAAAAAAAAAAAAAAAAAAAAAAAAAAAAAAAAAAAAAAAAAAAAAAAAAAAAAAAAAAAAAAAAAAAAAAAAAAAAAAAAAAAAAAGAAAAAAAAAAGAGAAATCAGAAATCTTCCACCAGAGTTCCAGTATTCCGCTGCCGCGCCAGCTGAATGAGATCACCACCGGTGACCAAGTCCATCAATCCCAACCCCACGCTCTTGAAAATCACATTGCCTCGCTCAGCCCACTCGCGTAAGCTCTTCCCATCGTCGGTCTCTTGGTCCATGTCTTGGGCAGCACAGCGCACCATCAACAGCTCGCCCAGCTCGACAACCTGATTCGGCTTGATCTCGGCTTGAATCAGCTCTCCGGCCTCCTTCAGGGCCGCCTCAAGACTGTCCACAACCACAACCCCGCTACGCTTGACGTGTTTGTGGAAATGCCGATGTGAACCGTGTGCCTTGACTTCGTCGCGTATAATTTCTGGGGGCAACTCCGTCATGTGTGGCTTATACGAACCAATGGCGCTGATCAGTCGACCTTTCCGGCGGGCTTCGTGTGACGTGAGTATCTCCCCAGGAAAGAGTGGCTGAATGGATGGAGTACAGCAGAAGATCGCATCAGCTTTGTTCAGGGCGTCCTGCAAGATGCGGGAGTACTCGACGAAGTCGCTGCTAACAGCCGAAAACTTCACGTCGCCCCGCCAGCTAGAGTTCTCTGGTGAATAGATGTCTTGCAGAAGTTCCGCTGCCCGATCGAAAGATCTATTGATGATGAAGACCCGTTTGATTTCCGATCCACGCAATGTTAGTGCCAGTCGTATGTGCCAGTAAGCCTGCTTGCCTGCCCCAAAGACTACGACTGTGCGCACTCGCTTGCGCTTGTTGAAGATCATTGTCGATGTTAGTGCAGTGCGGAATGGAGTGAGCTCGTGCGCATTGATCAACCCAAATGGCATGCTGTGCTCGTCAAGCAATGTCACGCTGCCCTGCGGGGAGGTGTCTCGGGAACCAGCTGAGGGCCATGCTCCCATGGTGTTGGACAATCCAGGGTTGACCGGCTGTTTGTTCACACATCCCGGCGGCAACGACTTGCTGCTAGAGCTGACCGATGAGCTTTCGTCTTCCTGCGACGAGACGGTCAAGTCACTCATGTCGGATGACAGCGAGCTCATGGAGGTCCTCGACCTGTGCCGACTCCGTGACGATGTCTTCTCATCCTCGGGTATATCCAACCCGGTTTCTACGGCACACCCCGCGGTGTCCCCATCCTGGAGCGAGATCATTTTCATGCCGATGGTGCGGCCGGTACTGGCGGGCATAAATAGCGTTGTGGAGCCATTCTTGCGGGTGATTGCAGTTCTCTGGGGTTGATAGGTAGCGGAGCAGCCCTGTTCCTGGTTTCCCGTCGAGTATTCTCGCAACGCCTGCGCTAGGTTTTGTTGCAGCGATATAATCTCATCGCGGGTCAGCGACAACAGCAGGGAGCGGAGTTGTGCCTGAGAGAGAATGGTCAACGGCATGAGGGTAGGGTTGTACGTAGTATGATATTCCTCTATATTCTTGTCTCCACAAATTCCAAACCGATTGTGAACATGGAGAGAAGAAAAAGCTATTGTTGTAAGGAAAGGAAGTTGATTGAACCACGGTTGAATGAGGAGGAGGGACCGGAGTTATGGTGGGCGGGCGGAACTGATAAGGTCTGATGGCTGCGAACGGACATTCGACAATTTCACCAGCCCTCCAAAATGGAACTAGACTAGTAGACTCCACGGAGGTGGCGGAGATATATTAAACATACTTACTATATATATATCAAGACCCGCGCGGGCCATTAGCAAAGAAATAGCAAAGAAAAGCAACCCATGGCTTCTATCAACCTTGGCATCAGGAATCGTATCGAATGAAGAGGTCCTGAGAGGGTCGGAGAGTCGGCGTTAAGGACCGTGATGACGACAGTCAAGACTTTGGCTGGGCGAATAATGAAAGCGGAGCGGAGACGAGACCCATTAGTGCCTCCCATTAATCTTGTCATGGTACGTGGTATTGAGTTTTGTGTTTGGGTATGGCATATGTCGGATATAATGGGTTTTATATCAAACCGCTCTCTACAAATATCCCCCCTATCGCCATATCTAATCGTACAGAATTTCGCCATAACATTGGAAGAGACTTCGAACGAAAAAAAAAAAAAATGAAAATGTCCAAGCCAAGAAAATAAAAGCAAGAGCGAAAAAACTAATCAGAATGTCCTGACTCACTATAACCCCCACATATCTTCATTGTCCCGGACTACATCATCCTCATTAAGAACCCGTAGTCCGCTTTCCTTGGCTTCTCGTTTCCTTTGCCGTTTGGTCACCATCCGACTGGGTGTAAGCGGAGTTACTGGTGTAAATGGCATATACGGACTGTATGGCGTGGGCATCCCAGTCCGAGGACCATTCATGGGTTTCAAGGGGCGCTCCAGGACGGTGGTCTTGGTAGCGGGCGCACTTTGCTGCGGGTAGGCATCACGGAAGGGCAAGGAAGATGAGCCGTGGCCAGCCACGGACATACTCAAGGGCGCCGGGGCTGGCGCCCGCGAACCCTTTGACACCCTCTTCTCGCTAGGGCTTTGAACTGTCGCCACTGGCGGCGTTGGGGGAGGCGGTGGGTTGTAAAATCGCGGTGTTAGAGGAGGCTGATCCTCTCCATACGACCTGCACGCCGTCACGTCCGGCGAGGCCATCGGTGAGGAGATTGGTAGTTTCCGAAGAGGAATGCGAGGGGTACGGGGTGTACGGGGAGTATGCGGCTTGCCGGTGTTTGCCTCAGAGCGAGAGTTGCTATTGAAAAGAGAGAGTGACGAGAGTCTGGACAGGCGAGAACTGGCTCTCGGGCTCGTTGGCATCTTCACTTGAGGAGGAGGTTGTGGTGGTGGGGCTTCTGACAGTCTCGATGAACGGTCCGTGAACGGGTTCGTTTGAGCACTATCTGGAGAATGAATTTCGCCCTCTTCCTGGGTAGCCTCCTTCTCAGCTGCCCTCCGCTCGTCGTGTTCCATGACAGCGGCGTACAGCATTTCCATTTCTTCTTGCGCTCTGCGCCGGTCTAATGCAACCACCGACTCGTCGATAGTAGACACGCTGCTGTTGTTGGCTATATGAGACCGCGGGCCCTTACCCAAGCTGCTCCAGGATCGATTGAAACCATTTGGCATACCCGGACTGGGGAGATTGACGGAGATTGGGGTGACTGGGCTTGGATCCATACTGGGTGGAGGCTTCACAGGCTTCATCATTTCTACTTGCAACGTGAAGTTGGACGATTGTACTGTCCTTCTCAGACGACGTCCTATAAAGAGGAGCAACGTCAGGAGGATGGCCACAAAGATCACGTACGCTCCTACAATCCCACCGATTTGGATGGCGAGGAGAGACTGATCCAAGGTATAAGTAGTGGGGTGACCGTCAGCCCGACGGCTCAGGTTCGGAATATGAATCAGGAAATTTGACGGTTCCTGGGATACTGATCCAGCAGTAACCACAGGAGATAGTAGACCAGCAAGGATTATGTGAACCGGCAACATTGCTCGTTCGTGGGTCGCAGATAACAAACCTAGTGATTAAGTATCTTTATTAAACATAATGGCGGATCGCAAAGGAGACCGCAAATCCCTTACAGAAAGAGACTGAGTGACACATCCTGAAAGAAGAGGGGGGTATGAGCGACATATGGAAAGATGGGTATTGAGTGATTGGATGTGATCGTGTGAAGCGCCAACCATGAAGAAGGTTGAAGTGCGATGGAGATCCTCCCGTTCTGTGGCTCTATTGGTGCAAGTTACGCGCCCATCTGCACATCCGATCACACTCCAATTACTGGACTACTGGCTTGCCAGACCTCGATTGATGGCTCTAGCTTTGATTTTTTGGGGTCTTAGCACAAATATGATTGAAGTGTTTCGTATATCTTCAGGATTGGTGTTTTGATTGGAACGTTCCCTATATTACCACATCCGTTCTTACACCCTACATATCCATATACCTCGTAGCAGTATCACTTGCACACTTAGGGCAAATTCAAGGACCGTACTGCTCACTGTGATTGGCTAGATCCTGTCACCTTACCTACATCATTTATTTCTGGTTCGGAGGGGCTCGATAAGCTTAGGTTGCGTCTGCAGCTTCTTACTAGTCCTAGGGCTCCCTGTCACCCCGAAGGAGCATACATATACCGTCAGAGGCTACCATAGGTACATCACATCGTATCATATCACAACCTAAAGGAGTCCAAACTCACACGAGCCGCTTTTCAACCGTCCAGTGCCAGTGTCCAGCGACGGGGAGGCCCATTATCTTCTAAGTCTAAGCAAGTGTCTCTGGAACGGTCTGGGTTCATGACGCTTACTAGACAAAACCACCATCATACATGGCAATATCATACAATATATACATCACGCATATATGCACATGGCTACTTAGCCACTAGTCATTCTTTGAAAATAGGTCCCGCCAGAATTCCTTGAATCCATATCCTTTATTTTTATCCTCCTCATAAACTCGTGTGGTAGTTGATGTGCTTAAGGACTCGATAATGCCGGACGCTTTAGATCCCACGGACTTAGGGCGGCTGGTCCTCTCTGTCGCGCGCCGTTTAATCTCCTCGGCTAAAGTGGGCGCTACATCGGCGTAGCACGTAGATAATTCACGTTCCAGATTGATGTACGGCTTCTGGGCAACGGGTGGTGCTTGCAGGTTGTAAGAACGAGTAAGATTATTGAGATTCTTAACTGCTAGCTCATAAAAAGAGCGCTCTGTTGAAAGATACTGGGAGTCGCGCAATGGCGAAACATATGGCAGCCGGGGGTTCTCATTGGTTTCGATTTCCGGCGAAATAGCAGCTATGTCTTCGTCATTGTTCGGGTTCGTTGCGGACGGCTCGACATTATAAAGCTCTTGGAATGATCGCTCTATCTGGACTTTCTCTGCCAAACGAGCTTCCGCAGCGGCATAAGCCTGAGCACGCCTCATCTGAGCTTCTAGGGATCCTCCTTCACTCGCAATCAATCTAGCCGCTTGCCGTCTCCATTCCGTTCTTAAGCGCTGACGAAACCGATCCACCTCCCTCGCCAGCTCCTGTTGTTTCTCGATCCACGGAGGAACCAACTCTTGTTTTTGAATCATTTTGTTCATGAAATATTCAGTTGTATCGATAAATGCACTATTTGCATTATGGTCGGTCTGTGTATTGACACCCTTTCCTCGTTTTATTCGCTCGAATTGACCGCGCGACATCGCATCCTCTATCCGTTCGTTTGCAAGCGACGCTAACCCCTGGATCGTCCTCGGCATTGGTCGACCGCCTGGGGTGAACCTCTCGCGCATCTCTCGCCGCATTGCCTCACGCTCTTCATCCGATAACCCGGGGCTTTGGCTTAAGGAGTATGTAGATGTGCGGTCCTTGGCTTCGGCGAGGCGAAGGCCAGGCGATTTTTGAGGCTTGGGAGAGATTCGCATATCGACGGGGTTGGGTTGTGGGATTTTATAGGGTACGCGCATAGGCTTCTTCGAGCTATCCAGCATGCGAAGTGTGACATCGTGAAGGCTCTCCGTTCCGGACCATGCCTCAGCTGCGGCGATATCTTGAGTTCCTTGACCTGCACTCAACTTTATAATATTAGTCTAGGATCTCCGGTATCATTAGATAGACACATACAGGCATGTCGACGATTGCATGGGCAGTCGCATGATCACTTTTGAATGCCGTTGCTGCGATTCTCTCTTCAAGCTGCTTCTTCAGATCATCTGAGAACCCCGCGTGTTCTATGTTTTTGCGCGCCGAGCGACCCCCTTCAAGCACAGCTTGTTCTGCCATCTCCGATAGCCTTCGCGCCATAGCGCTTTCTTCTTTGGGCTCATCCTGTAATCGCGTAGTCTCGTTGCCTTCATTCGCCTTCGAATCTGCATTTCGTCGCTGGCTTATCGTAGAGAAACATCTCGATCTTGGACTTTTTATTGTAGATAATGAGGATATGCTCTTGAATTTGAAAGATCCCACATGCCGTTTGCTCATAGCCGCCAGTTCAGAAGAAAAATAACACTAAATGAGTGTAGTGACAGTAGCAGGTAACTTTTATCTCCAACGGTGGCCAAACATGTATAGTTAACTTGAATCTGGACTATAGGGTGTTATGTCAGCCACTTCCGCGGGCAAAATTGCCGAAAATGTCTTGGCACCTCCGAAGGCTTTCCGACAACTTTTGGAACCAGAGCCCCAGACTATACATTGACCTGCACCGGCGCTATTGGTGGCATTGCGCTCTATCCGATTAATTAATTTGGATTCACTGAGTGGTAGAAGTTCAGAGAGCACCAGAAACACCGTCAATATGCCCCCGAAAGGTGCCACGACTCGTCTCAACCCGGTCCGTCTGCAGACCATCCCTCACCTTCGAGTCCGTCGTCCGAATCAGCATGAACAGAACCCCTGTGTGACAGTCATGTCATCGATGCTGAGTATGCTTGCTCCTGCCTCCAATCTTCGTTGCCCGGACTTTGCAGATGGACTTTCGCAGTGTCCGATTGTCGAGCTTCCGTGTTCCAGACAACTGATGGGTCGTCAACAATTTTTCCACTACGATGAATTGCTAACTTTGGTTTCTTGATAGGTTGCTGGGCATCGGCTGGATATACCGCGGAGGGATGCGCGGCCCTTGAGCAGCAATTGAGGCAATGCATGGACGCACCTGTACGTATCTTGATCTGCTGTTCTCCAACGCCTCTTCGTCAACTTCCTGGCCCTCGAACTAGCCGTGCTAATGATATTTTTCTCCTTGCAAAACAGAAACCGAAGAGCAACAAGAAGAACACCATCAATTACCATCTCATGAGAATGTACCCCAAGGTCGTCGGTCCCAAGAAGAGGGAGGGTACTCTTGGTTAAGAATTCTTTGGCTGCAATGTTTGTTGATATCTCGAAGCGTCGCGCATCATACCAGTTATTCGATGGTAGCAAGCAAGGTTTTTATATTGGTTGCTGGGGCCCCGGGATGGGTGATAAGCGTGGAGGCTCTGGATTGAGTCTTGACGGGCTCGGAAAGAAATCTTTATGTATCTGGAGTTAAAGGCTTTTCGTTTGAATCGGGTGGATGTGAGCTTGTACTACGAACATCCCCTTCTGTACATTACATGTGCTATGTTACAAAGAAAAAAAAAACACATTTCGATCATAATCATTCAGAAGACATAGCTAATCATCGTAGTGTGTGTGGGAAGTTAATGCTGGGTTACGATTTACGCGGATTCAAATCTCAACACCAGTTTATCCCCGCGAGGCTTAACCGTATAGGCGTCGATTGCTTCAATGTCGTCGTCGTTTACGATGGACGTCCTGTAGTTGGTGTATATGGCCGCCGTTACTAGTTTGATTTCTAGAGGTACAGAAGTCAGCTTGGGGGAACTCTATATAGGGAGCAATGGTCAACTTACCTTGCAAGGCCAGATTGCTTCCAACACACATCCTTCCACCACTTCCGAAGGCCCAGAACCACCGTCTTCTTTCTTCGAGGTCAGATTCCGAGTTAACGCCCTTGAGCCACCGCTTAGGCTGCCATGTCTCCGGATCCGGATACACGTCAGGGTTGCGATGGAGCGAGTATGCCTGCGCATTAACTCTTATGTTTGCAGGAATATCGCTGTAACCAGCCAAGGTGCAGGATGGATGAGGTGTGACCCGAGGCTGTATCCCAGGGATTGGGGCATGGAGACGTAACGTTTCCGTAACTATGGCTTCCAGGAGAGGTAATGAATCAACTGCTTTTGCTTGAGGTAGGCCCCTCGACGGACTAGGTCGGGGAAACAGAATCTTTGGCTCTAGAGTCAAGAGCTCTTTCCGTAGCTCTTCTTGCAGGTCCGGATGCCGAGAAAGCTCCCAGAACAGGTAAGTGAGGGCGACGGCGCTGGTTTCAAAACCGGCAGTGAGCTGATCGTACATTTCGCAGGCAATATCGAGCCGCTGTTGCTTCAGGCTCTCCTCTGTGTTCCCCTTTTGTGAAGACTGCTTGATCATTGCTTGCTGGAGCTGCTTGTATGCCATAGGCTCGACGCTGGGCTCGGTTGATTGGAGACATTGTTCTGCTCTGTCACAGAGGTCCAGACACCAAGCATCTAGCACTTCATTGGCCTCATCGCACCATTTAGGAATCAAACGAATACCAATGGACTTAGTCCAGGATAGAAGATTAGGGACTTCTTGGTGGTAGAACTCATACGGTTTCCTGCCCTGATAGTAGTGGAGCATCTTGTGCCGGAAGGGTGCATCCTGAAGCCAGTTGGTTCCATTCGCCAAGCCAAAGAGATACGCTGATACAAAGTCTATGGTAAGTCCCTGGTTGAGATCATGGACCTCAATAGGCGCATTAGATGAGACTGCCTCCTGGATTATTGGCAAGAGGCGATCGAACAAAATACACTCCGAGATCAGACGCATATGAGGTGAGGACTGCAAGTATGACTTGCTATAGATATTAGACAACATCCTTTTACGAACAGAATGAGGCTTGCTGCCAATCATAGTAAACATGCTGACAGTCCTTTATAGGGCAAATGTCCTTTATCAGCTCTAGCCGAGACCGTCACCTTTCGATGGAGTATAACCTTACCCGAGTGAACCGAATACCCGTGGATACCATTCATGCTTTTCGAAGCCGCCTGTGTAGACGGTTTTGATACCTCCTTCAACACAGTTGATGGATATCTCAGATGGAGAAAGCCGCACAATAGGTCCAAGTCTCTCATGGGCAGCCTGGATGGTCCGGTTGTTTTGACTCCGGAAACGCTTCCAGAGCATCCAAGCAGGAGATATTGGCGCTGTCCAGTGCGCAGTAGGGATCTTGGATAATGGAGAGAGGAAGACGGGATACACAATGCATTTATATAACAAAGTGATTGTCAAGACAATCGCCGATATAGTTACTATAGGCGACCCACCCATGTTTGCAACTGTTCAACTTTGGCATCAAGATCAGATAGTGGATGTAATAAAGAGACCTTAGGAGACTTGTGTGGAACAAGGAAGAGGGACGACTGCGAGCAACGATGAAGGCAATGAATATCTTATATTTAACTGCAAGACCCGACAGCCATTATCAGGTCGAAAGAGCGGTCGACTCCGACGGACCCTTGCTACAGGGTGGACCTACCATTAGGAGAAGCTTTCCCCCGCATATAGAAACTTTTGACGAGAGGAGTCAAGTTGGCAATCCTTTAGGGAAAAGACACGATAATGACCCCGGGTATCCGATGAGTACCCCAGTGAGTCAAGAAGACCACTTCGTATCTCTTTAGTAATAAGTGGAGTCTCTCTGGTTGAATTGCTTCTTCAGTCCTGCAAACATCCCCACATTAAAGTGACCTGATAAGGAAAGGTGAAGAAAGTGCAGTGTGGAGATAAGATTTATTGATAAATCGGACTGATAAGCGCAGAATCTGATTGGAAATGACATAATGACCGAAATTCCCACAACGCAACCTCTCAGTCACTACCGTCGTCTTGTATTTTTGACCACTAGATCTTCTTTCTTAATGTGTGTGTGGGTGTAAAAATATCTCCTCTGCAAATTTTTGCCATGAATCCTTTGCCGTCTGAAGAGTTCCCGAGTGACTCACACCATGGCCTCACTACTATGTTCCAAGGCTGATAGACCAAACAGCCTTCGCGTTATCGTCGATTGCAGCATGTCATAAATCGCCGTGGAAAGGACCTTAGATACATACACTGGCAGACAGATTATGATGTCGTTAATGCTTTAGACTAGAGTACATATGTGAGTCGTGTACATCTACAAAACAGTTTCGGATACTCATGGACTGTCAAGAAATCGCCACTCGGCCTCTTCATCGTTCTTCGCCTTTAGAAACCTGTTTAGATCGTTACTATGCTGTCTAAACTACCCGTGGAGATTATCTATCTCATTGCAACTTATCTACCATCTGCCAGCGACTTGGTACATATCGCGCAGACCTGCAAGCATTTGTATGGTGTTGTATCTGCCGAGGATGGGCGTGTTTTTCGGGCATTTATTGAGCACCGGTTTCCTGGCTTTGTACCATCTTCATGTTGGAAAGATGCCACCCAAGCTCTCACTTCTCGCTCTCGAGCTTTGGACAAAAATGCGGTAGTTAGTCGCTTTGTGGCTAAGCCCCCTACTCGCGCTGAATTGGGGATCACAACGCGAACCGACAGACCCACCCTTGGATATCGCCCTGCAATTGATTCGTATGAAATTTGGAACGGGAGCACATTCGAGGACCGCAGGGAGGTGCTCGCTTGGGGCGGCGGGCATGAGATTGTCATGAAAATCAAACAACATGGCAAGGCCCAGAATCATCAATGGGCCATTTTCGATGATTTGGATGTCGTCAGCAGCCATGATGACATCTGTGGTCTGCATATCCTGCGGCCGGGGCATCATTGCAAAGCGGACGATAAGGAACATGTAATCTTTGGTCGAATGCGCGGCGAGCTTCTCCATGTGGCACTCAAGCCTAACGAGGACAAACACGACTATGTGCAGCGATTTAAGACATCTAACTCTGGGCTCCAACATATCGATCTGAGTGAAGGAACAGACCCAATTCTGGCTGCACACGACAAAAACGGAACAATCGCATTCTACAGTACTACCAAGGATGACGACGTGGTTGAACCCTTTGGGCATATTGTAATCGAACCAAGGCTTGCAGCACGTAACAAGTGCTCTAAATTCCTGTCTTCGACCTTGTTTGCTATAGGCACAGGGCGCTCTGAGGATGCGCTGGCTATCTCTTCCATTTCATCGGAACGGTTGGCGCTGGAACGTGAAATCAGCGTGCGCTCCTTAGATCTGGACGTGCGGCTTGGCTCTACTGCAAGTGTCATCGTCAATGCAATGGCACCTCTATGCGGACAGGTTACCACGGGGTCTCCAGGTAGTACATTTCTTGCTGCTTGGGGAGATCGTCGAATCAGGTACGATCCCTTTGCTCCTCTCATCGCTTATTGATATAGCTGACGATTGCGCAGACTTCACGATGTTCGCTCAAACCGGGCATCCGAGTCCACGTATAAAGACCCAACCGACCAAAACCAAATTTACTCCCTTCATCCCTTTGGCCATGACAGATTTCTCGCAGGAGCCGGCGCAGACGCCGTTGTGAAGATTTTTGATCTTCGGATGCCAAAAACCTACAGTTACACAGATGCCAGGGCCGCTTCGATTTACCAGCACAACGTGCCCCGTCGAAAATCCTCGGGAGGAGAGATTGCACCCCCGGTAGAAAGCATCAAGTATCCCCGCAAAGATTTCTCCATGTTCCTATTCTACGCACCGCCATTATACCCAAATGCCCCTCGGAGACGCCAACGTGAATCCACTCCTTACCGCGGGGCCATATACTCCCTGTGCTCACCATCACCTCTGTCGCCCACGGTATACGCCGGAATCACTGACGGTGTCGTTCGATTGGACTTCGTGTCTACTGATGACTTGACTGGCTCATGCAGGGATTGGTATCGGGAAATGATTGATATAGACTTAGAAATCCAGGAGGATAGGACGACCTACAACCCTGAGCGAGTTCTGGATTTGTCTGGCTACGAACGACCGGAGCCTCATGATACCACTTCGACTTCTCCATTGAGGACGCAGAAGCGATTTGCGTATATTGATGAGAGTAATGTCAGAAATGAGCAGCTGACGGGTTGGGACCGGAGATGGAACCCAATGGAAAGATTTGCTGCTTGGAGACGTCGGGATTGAGTCGGATGGCTTGATGACCCCTATGCTTATTATAGTTTGTTCGTCTGTTTTGCATACCGATCACGGAGAGGTTTTTTTTTTGGCGCTGTTGGTTTGTTACTTAGTGGGTAGCTATCAAGGTAAGCTGATCAATATGGGTGTGATGAGATTTACTAGATGGCGAAGTATTCCATTGGGTCATGGGTTTTTAAGGTTCTAACAGGAAAGTAAACAATTGATAAAAAATTTAAACTTTTTTTGGTGATAGTTTGCATGAATAATTAAACAG